TCAGTTTAGCTTGATGTTGGAGCGTACGCTCGGGGGGAGCGACTCCAGCATGGCTGCAGTCAGTTCCTCACACTCACTGCCTGGGGACACAATGAACAGATCAGACATGGATCATTATTATTTTATTCATCACAGGTTGGGAAACTCTTTAACTTGGTCACGGAGGGACAGGGGAGTTGAATATACATGTGATTTGAAACTAACCATCTAAAAGCATTTTATTATTCATTAATCTAACATTTGGTTGAATAGAGGAAAACTCTGTAACCACACCAGAGAGGTCTGGAGGACCGGCTCGTTTCATCTGCTGCACAATGCTGTCAAAATGCAAACATCCTGTTTCAGGGTGATGCTGAAGAAATGTTCAAAGAAATCATTCAAACCCTCAAACTACCATGAACTACCAACGTGAATAGGTGTGCTCATAAATTTTAATAAGTGTTACTTTAGGTTCTGAAGGCTACGAACATTTGACGAAATACCAGTGGCTCACCACAAGTGTACCAAGATGATTTCAAATGATCTTATGAGAGCACTGAGACTCTACAATAATAAAAATCTACAATTTAAAATTGAAGCATTTTAGAAAATCTACATATTCGATTTCAGAGAAACGTTACTACAATTGAAGCTGTGGGGACTAACATCTGCGTTTTGTTCAGTCCATCCAACAGCTGCAAAGACTTTTTCAGCCTGAACCAATCAGCAGACGGGCAGAATGTAACTTGAATGTAACTTGAATGTAACTTGAATGTAACAGACTTACTTTGTGGCTGCGCGTGGTGAGAAGCTGCTACAGCTGAACACACCTGGAAGAAAACATGGAGCAGGTAGCAGTGAAACAGGAGCTTGACCAAAGGTAAGCACTGATTCATATTCATCGACATTTATTTTTGTAACAGAGTAACAGAATTACCAGGGTCAATATTATCGGTTTTTATTGATCCACAGCATAAACCACTGTGATGGGCTTCAGTTCTGTAAAGCTCAAAGATTGTAACATCAAGTTAAACTGAAGGTCTAATTTACACATGGCAACAAAAACTTCAGCCAGTGGGAACTTCAAATGTATAACTGGAGACCAGAGTCCACGTCAGAAAACCATCAATGAGATAAAGCTGAGAGACTGGGATCGGCTCAGCAGACGTGTGTGAGGCTGTTATTCAGCAAAAAGGATTTCAGTTCCTATGTGCAAACGATGTCCTCGTTCTGTTTAACAGCACAAAAACATTTTTATACCAAAAATTCAATCTTCAGCCGTGTTTCACTACAAGTATCTGCAGCCGTCTGCTGTGTGTAAAAGTATTAAAGTTATGTAACACTTTGTCTACGTCCACACTAGCCCAGATAAAATTTGAAAACGGCGTTTTCGTCTGAAAACGCGTCCACACTATCGTTTTCATAAAGGTGTGCGTCCAGTCCTGCGCATGTGTGAAGCGCAAGAAGATTCAGCCCGCTCATTTCTGTCTGCCGTTCATTTACTTTCAGGCTCTTTGAAACGTGGCGGCAAAATGTGGAGGAAAAGCACCGAGTTTGTTAAATGGACTCACAATGAGGTGGAGTTGTAGCTGTGAGTAACAAAAGTATAAAGTTGCAAAAGCGAGTGCGAGTTAAAGAATTTGAAGAAAAGCTCTCTGCAGCACGTGCAGACTGATTAATCTTTAATAGGGCTGTCAAACAAAACAGCTGCTGTGTAACGCCTCCGCTATCTTAGTTTAATTGGTCACATGACTGCATCACATGACTAACATGTGTCATCGTTTTCAAAAAGGCTCCGGGTTCGCTGTTCACACTGCGACACGAAAACGGCGTTTTCAAATGTATCCGCTTTGGAGAGCGTTTTCAAAACGCTGCGTTTTCCTTGAGCCAAAAACGGCGCCTCAGTGTGGACGGGAGGCCAAAACGGAGGGAAAAAGATGCGTTTTCAAACGGAAACACATTAGTGCGAACATGGCCTTTGATTCTTTACGATTCCACATTTTCAGGCTCAGAGCATCTTTCTGTCGCTATGTTTAAAAAGAGCAAACAAAGACTGATGTGCTCTGGTGAAGTGACAGTCGCGTTTGTGGCAAAGATTAACAAAAAAGGAAAAAGAAGAAGCTGCGGGTGGGGAGCAGTGCTATGCTACAACACCACATACTGTGAATATTACAGGTGGACTGGGGGATCACTGGGGGCCACTATCAGGTTTTAAATGTGAAATGAGGAGCCTGGGACTGAACTCAGCACCGAGACCAGCAGGAAATAAACCTAAGAATAATGATGATGATGATGATGAATGTACACAGTCCAGGTTGGAAGCAGAGACGTTCTGTGGCTCACTGTGAGGAGAAGGGCTGGGATTACATCCTTCTTACTCCTTACTGACATGTAAACTCGTGTAATTTATTTAAAATGATACATCGTGGGACACATTCAATGGCAGGTGCTGCTGGCACCACTGTGGATGATGGTGCAGCTACCACTGCTGTACTTAGTTTGACTTTTTCTCTCTCGGCTCCACATCTCTCTACACTAAACTCTGCTCTGCACGGCGCACAGGGAGGAGATGTGATAGGGCAGTAATGAAAATGAACAAAGGGCTTGTTGCTCAGCGGCCCTTCGATCGACCCACTGGCCTCCCGGGCCAGTCCAGCCCTGGCTCCTCCTGTTAAGCTCCCACTGAAGCAAACCAAGCATATGCTTCTAGTCCACTATCAAAGAAGTGCCGTCTAAAGGTGTCGTACTGCTTACCTCGGCTGTGGTGCGACTGACAGCACTTAGCAGTGCTACAGACTCTCGCTCTGACTCGGTCAGTGTCCCAACCTGCAGAGACACCAACAAGGAAACACAGCAGATCCTGAATGGAAACTTTAAAGAGAATTCAGGAGAAATGTCGATCTGCACGATAACCACAAACTGCAGCAGGATGGAGGTGTGTGCACAAACCCGTGAACAATACACACAATTAATGTGATTAAATGTCATTAGGCCTGCTTTCCACACATGTTATGGATATAACTGCAGTAGCTGCACCGTGTTTGGAGGCAGCTAACTGTGATTAAACCAATGAAAAGAAAACACCACACCTAGGACACGTCAAAGCGCTCTCTGCAGTCTCTGTGTGTGTTCAACTTTGATGCTTTCTTGGGCCAAGCGCAGGTACTCTGGGACAGGAAGACCAGTTTAAACTTTGAATTAGCACTTCAAGTGCTCTCACGCCTTCCTCACTTCATCGCCAAGTTCACCACAACGTATCTTTGCACATTTTCCCTTTGATTAGATGGTTAATCAAATCTGACCTCCCACAGCAGTAGTACTTGTATCAGTGAGCTATGTTAAACAGTCATAAGGTGTCGATCTACCCACCTCCATATCAGTGGTCTGTTCAAAGTGTTGCAGCAGCTCCATGACGCCGCTGAGGTTGTTTCTGATCGAGTCTACAGACTCCTTCTGTGCACTCGTGAGCTCCTTCACCTGCGAGCACAGGGCTGAGTGTTTGGACTTTATAGACTTCAGGTTCTCCAGCACCACTGCCAGGTTGTTCTACAAGCACATGGTCAATCATCAGCCCACAGACTACATGCTCAGGTGTGTATCTGATTTTCTCTTATTGCCTTTCTGCAAACATGAAATGTTCTACCTCATGCATCACTCGTATCACTGAGTGACAAAGTGTTTTTCCCACTAGAAGCGCTGCATCCAGGTGAACTGAATGATAGCTCTGGGATTTCCGTCCCTCTTCTATGTCTTATTACATGTACTGGTTGGTACGGTTATAACTATTAGCATCTTTATGGGTATAGGCCGGTTCATCTTACTTTCACTTTAGTTGGAGTTTGTTCTTCTGTGTATCCTGATGACATCATGTTTTTTTTAACAAAAGACAAATAATACACAACTTCCAAGCACAAAGGCCGCAGTGTTAGCAGCCAGTAATTCACTAAGAGCTCTTTGATTTTCTCTAGATCTGCCTGCAGATGCTGGGAGAAATGTCATCTGTTAGTCACCTCAGCTGGACATCCATTTTCTGCACTGCTGTTGATGAAGTCCAGCTTCAACCGCTTCTCAATGTAATCCAGGTCTGCCTCTGCCTTCAGAAACTGCAAAGACAAAGTGCATCACATTGTGGCACTGAACTTCCTGCACCATGTTCAGATTCTTTGCTGTTTGACTCAACATTCCTGGTGGAATCACACTTACAGCTCATTGCTTTATGTGAACCTCATCATGTTACACTATATCAAGTGCAGCGCCCATGTTCCTGTTCCAGGACAGAGTGTGTACTAGGCAGCAGGACTTTGGCATATCCAGGTAGCTTCAGGATTAAACCGGGGTCTTCTGTACCACTGGGTGGAAATCACCAAGAAACGTTCCAGATCAGAGATCAACAGGTATGAACTCACCACCTACTGACCAATGCATTCTCAGGACAGAGACACAAGGCTGCAAAGGTCTGGACATGTGCAGAGGAGGGACAGCGGATAAAGATGGTCTATGGTCCAGCAGTCCCCAGACAACATCAGCCATCAGATCTCCTCACTGTAGGGGCCAGTGGTTCAAGTTTCTGATTTGATGAGTGATTGAGTGGTTCAGAGAGCACCGTCACTGCTGCTACCCTGACAGCTGTACTGCAGCCACATCGGAGCGAACTTAAGAAGGAAGTCGTCTGATTCGTTGTTTAGAGAGCACAAATGTGTAGATTACTCCAGCTTGAGCAGAAGTAAGGATCGATGTGTGCGCGCACACACACATTATTATTTTAAATATTGTTCTTGTATTACAAGGTAATATTTGTATTTAGACTTATTTTCAATGGCTGTATTTACATTTGGATTACAGATAAGTAATTATCTGATATTGACTTTATTCCAGCTGTGAGGTAAATAAAGTGCATCTTTAATGCATTTATTGAAGGTGTGTAAACACAGAGGTGGTCCTTGCAGTTTTCAGATGCTTTGACAATACTATTGCACTACTAGTTGTCTGATACAGTAGTGCAATGAAGTCAGAGCATCTGCCAACAGCTCGAGGTTCACACACGGTAAACTTTGCACTAGTCCCAGGATTGCACAACCTGTACAGATGGTCAGCAGCACAGACAGACAGAGCTCAGCTACAGGCTGCACATCCTCCCATTTCCCTTCTGCAATAAGAGTTACGGGGAAGTAAGCACGCTTGTCTTTGGCACCGTGAGACTTGATGTGCAGGAGACAGCTGGTGTTTGAGACGGTCTCGAAAAACAAACAATCTGTGAATAAAAGTCCTAAAACAACAGAGCGATGCTACACTTGGTCCCGCTGCGGACTGCTTGCTCCGAGTTGCTCTGTGACGTTCGAGTGGCGGCGATGTTGAAACTAGCCGAGCTCCTTCGCGGTCCTGCGGTATTTGATGGGCCTGACTTTGGATTATTTCTTAGCAGAGAACCGTGAGTCGCCTGCTGTGAGCGGCACACCGTGTGCAAAGCTACGATCAATAGCGGTTCAACAGCCAAAAGATACAGTCGGGAAAAGGAGTTTGACGCTGTGCTTACCATCGCCTCAAGCTTTTCAACTGTTGTCTCCATGTTGAACAGTTTTCACCCTGAACGTGGGCGCTGTGATTGGCCAGCTGTCAGGAAGGAAGAAAGCTGATTGGACGTGTGTCAGAGCCGAGAGCTGTGCGCCATATTACTCCCAGTCTGTTTCTGTGTTTGGCGCCCCCCTCTGGCTTGGAGTGAGATGAGTCCTGCTGAAACATTTTAGGATCTTCCTGATAGTGATGGGATTCCGGCTCTTTTTAGAGAACCGGCTCTTTCAGCTCGACTCAATAAAAGGACCCGATACTTTCGGCACCTAACCGACTCTTTAGGTTGTTTTGTTTCTTTAGTTAATTTATTATTAACAACAATATAAAATTATGCACAAAAGGAATTACTAATGTAAAAAAAAAAAGTGGCTTTATTTATATATGTTTATATATAAATATATACGGTGGCCCCTAGAGACAAAGCACGTACAAACTCCAAAAAGCATGTACAAACTCCAAAACACATTTCTAGCGTTAACTGAACTTCCAAAACAGAGCTACCTAGATCACTTAAATTACACATTGAAAGTGTGGTATCGCAAGAAATAAGTGGTTATATAAATATGAGTATACATAATAGTTATTATTCATAGATACCTACATCCTAAGTTCCTGTTAATCTTCTGAAAGAAACAGAATGAATGTGTTGTTACAATGGTAATGCCAGGAGAGGCAGTATTAGTTCTGTGTTACATTAATGTGTAAGGAAGTGGAAGAAGAGTGTGTCCTGTAGGAGGCAGTAGAAAATGGATGCTCATGTTCTGTACATGCCCTGAAAGTAAGGTTCAGTAAACCAGTGCAACGATACCCCGGTGTAAGGCTCAGTTATTGTATTTTTATCTTTTGAAGATGCAACATCTTTTTGGCGACGAGGACGTTTAGGGGGAAGGAGTTTGGGCGATCGGACTGAAAGAAAAGAGAAGAAAATAAAGTGATGGAGTCGGCTACAGGTTTGGCTAGCTTTTCAAAGAATGCAAAAGTTTTCGGCTGGAAATAGAAGGCAGTGACCTCGAAGCGGAAATGGCTACAATTGGTACGCTAGTAGCGTTCGATCCAAAGAATCAGACTTGGGATGAGTACACGGAAATACTCGAGCAGTTTTTCGCAGCTAACGGGATCGACGATGCAGAGAAACAAAGAGCGATATTAATAAGTGTCGTCGGAGCAGCGACGTACAGCTTGATGCGAAACCTTCTCAGCCCGGCCAAGCCCAAAGACAAAACCTTCCAAGAGCTGGTGCTTCTGATGAAAAATCACTTCGATCCGAAGCCCAGTGAAATTGTGCAAAGGTATAAGTTCGACTCTCGCTCCCGCAAGCCGAGTGAAACCGTCATGGAATATGTAGCGGAGCTGCGTCGCCTGGCACAGGATTGTAACTATGGCAACACGTTACAACAGATGTTGAGAGATAGGATCGTCTGCGGAATTAAGGATGACCGAATTCAGAGACGTCTCTTGTCAGAAATAGATCTCACTTTTGACAAGGCTCTGTCAATTGCAGTAGCCATGGAGACTGCAAATAAAAATGCACAGGATCTGCAGACCTCAGGGGCGTCAGCAAAATGTTTCAGTCTCGCTAGAGGACAACAGGAGAGTCGTACCTTTAAAGCAGAAAATAAAGAGTGTTATCGTTGCAAAGGAACCAAGCACACAGCAGCAGACTGTAAGTACAAACAAGAAAAATGTCATGCTTGTGGTAAAATGGGACACATAGCTAGAGCTTGTAAAAGCAAGACTAAACTGAACCAGAAAAAGTATGGATCGACATATGTAAAAAAAGAAAAAAAGCAGAGTTCACACTACAGTACTCACAATGTGGGCGAGAAAGCAGATAACAACAAAACTGATAGCTCTGAAGATGACTCTTTTATGTTGAACTGTGTCAAGTGCAGTCAAGGGCACAAAAGAAAACTGTTCAAGTTAGGGCGTGGCAGTGCGGTACACTTAAGAAGAGTAGACCCCTACACTGTGGATATGCAAATTGATGGAAAAAAGGTGAACTTTGAAATAGACACTGGATGTTGCCTAACAGTCATGAACGAAGCAACATTCAGAGAAACAGGGAAAGACAGCAAGCCCCCCAGCCTGCAGCCCATCAAAATCAAGCTCGAAACTTATACAGGGGATCCTGTTAAGGTGATTGGTGCAACACGAGTCAGCGTCAAATACAAGCAGCAGAAAAAACATCTGCCCCTGGTGGTGGTCGAAGGCGACGGCCCCAGCTTGCTAGGTCGAGCTTGGCTCGAGGAAATTAAATTGGACTGGGGTGAAGTGAAAAACAGTCCTAACAACAGAAAGCTGCACCAAGTCAAAACAACAGAGAAAACACTTCAGCAAGTGTTAAGTAAACATGAAAATGTGTTCAAAGAGGAGTTGGGCACCCTGAAAGGAATGAAAGCTGCTATTCATGTGAAAAGTGATGCCACCCCACGCTTCTTCCGTCCGCGTTCTGTCCCCTTTGCTATGCGAGCAAAAGTCGACGAGGAAATAGACCGACTGTTGAAAGAACGCATCATCTCGCCAGTGAAATATGCTGAATGGGCGGCACCAGTAGTGCCACTCCTGAAGCCCACAGGGACAATAAGACTGTGTGGGGATTACAAGCTTACTGTAAATACCGTGGCTTCACTGGAGCAGTACCCCATACCCAGAATGGAGGACTTGTTTGCCACACTGTCCGGGGGTAAGCAGTTCTCAAAATTAGACATGAGCCACGCTTACCAGCAAATCCTCTTGGATGACGAATCGAAAAAGTACGTGACAGTAAACACATCGCGGGGGCTGTTCACGTATAACAGATTGCCTTTTGGAGTGGCCTCTGCTCCAGCAATATTCCAGAGGACCATGGAAAGTCTTTTGAAGGGGATACCTCATGTAGCAGTGTATTTAGATGACATCTTAGTGACTGGAGTGGATGAAGTAAGCCATCTACAGAACCTGGATGAGGTGTTGACCCGGTTGGAGGAAGCTGGGTTGAGGTTAAAGAGGTGCAAGTGTGCCTTCATGCAAGAGAAAGTGGAGTACTTGGGGCACATAGTGGACGCCCAGGGGCTCCACCCAGTGGAAAAGAAAGTTAAAGCAATCATGGACGCACCTACCCCCACAAATGTCACTGAACTGAAAGCATACTTAGGTTTGCTAAATTACTACAACAAATTCCTTCCAAACCTGGCAACCCGGTTGGCACCCTTACATGAACTTTTGAGACACGAGGTACGGTGGACATGGCAAAAGAGACAAGAGGAAGCATTCCAGAAATCTAAGAACCTGTTGAACTCAGCAGAGGTGTTAGTTCATTATTCTGCTGACCGTGAGTTGGTTCTCTCATGTGATGCATCCCCATATGGCGTAGGCGCCGTATTGTCACATAAGATGGAGGATGGAAGCGAGAGACCTTTGGGGTTCATGTCACGCACACTCTCTCCTGCTGAGAAAAAGTATTCTCAGCTTGACAAAGAAGGTCTAGCTGTGATATTTGGCATCAAGAAATTTCACAAATACTTGTATGGCCGAGTTTTCACGATTTACACAGATCATAAACCCCTAATCTCACTGTTCAATGAAAAGAAGCCTATACCTCAGATGGGCTCACCAAGAGTACAAAGATGGGCCGTGACATTGAGTGCTTACGAGTACAACATCAGGTACAAGCCAGGAAAACATCATGAAAACGCGGATGCGCTCAGCCGGTTGCCGGTACCAGACTCAGCACCTGAGCGAGAGATGGCTGAGCAGGTTTTGATGATGGATGTACTGGATGACACATTAGTGGACACTGCACAGATCAAACGATGGACAGCTAAGGATGTCTTGTTGTCGCAAGTCCACGAGTACACCTTAAAAGCCTGGCCAACTGAGACCGACGCCTGTTTAAAGCCGTATCGACAGAGAAAGCTGGAACTGAGTGTGAGGGATGGTTGCGTGCTCTGGGGAGCCCGAGTAATTATTCCCACCAAAGGCCGAGACAAAATATTGAAACTCCTGCACCAGACTCATACAGGCATGTCGAAGATGAAAGGCTTGGCAAGGTCGTATGTATGGTGGCCAGGGATGGATGAGAACATTGAAAGAGAAGTGCAGGCATGTGAGGAGTGTCAGAAACACTCCAAGTCACCACCTACTGCACCATTACACCCTTGGGAGTGGCCGGAGTCACCATGGTCCAGAATCCATGTGGACTATGCAGGGCCTTTCCTCGGGGAGATGTTTCTAATCATTGTGGATGCTCATTCCAAGTGGATGGACATTTACCCTGTGAAATCCTCTACATCACAGGTAACTATAGAGAAACTGCGCCAGAGTTTCAGTGTGTTTGGACTACCTAAAATGTTAGTTTCAGACAACGGAACATGCTTCACAAGTGCTGAATTTGAGTCATTCATGAAGCAGAATGGAATTGACCATGTAAGATCAGCACCTTTCCACCCTTCTTCAAATGGGCTGGCTGAGAGGGCGGTCCAGACCTTTAAGGAGGGGATGAAGAAAGTCAAAGGTGATACCTTGCAAACCAGACTGTCCCGATTTCTGTTCAGTTATCGCATCACACCGCATGCCACTACTGGTTTATCACCTGCAGAGTTGATGATGTCACGGAGACTCAGATCAGTTTTGGACTTGCTCATGCCTGATGTGAAAACAAAAGTGCAGCACAAACAATCGAAACAGAAAGAAAATCATGACACCAAGAAAAGACTGAGAAGTTTCACACCAGGAGACAAGGTCTTCATCAGAAACTACTCCTATGGCCCGAAGTGGATTCCCGCAGTCATTGTGAGAGCATCGGGTCCAGTGTCTTACATTGTTACCATTGGATCAGGTCAAACTGTGAAGCGGCATGTGGATCAGGTGAGAGCAAGAGTGGCTGACACTGTTCCCAGTACACCAGACAGGGAGGTGGAGCCATTGCTTGACAAAGAATCAGTGCCTGAGTGCTGCTTGCCATCAGAGTTGGACACATCGCCACAACCTCCGGCAATGGAGTTGCCTTATGCTCCGGAGACTCCAGCTCCCGGAGACTCCTCAGGGACACCCGTGTTGCGACGTTCCCAGAGAGAGAGACGTCCACCAGAGAC